GCTCGGCTGCTGGAGCGCAGACGCCGCGTTACGCTGTACGTTACGTTTCCAAATTGGAAGCTGATCAGATTGCGAAGTATCTCCACCTATTCTGGCTCTGTGCTAAGAGGAAACACATGCAGAACGCTCAGTTTGTGCAGAAACAGAAGTGTATTGCAAAAAGCTTGCAAAGATGCGGTTCTTGCTTGGTCCGTTGTTGGTTAAATTATTTCTCCAAAGGTGATATTTATTTTTTTAATTTTTTTATTTTTTTGCTGATTGGGTGATTTTGAACACAGCAGAACCTGGGTGTCATGAAGCGATTTTTAATCCTTTTTTAGAGCTGGTACCAAGTCGGTTGTGTAACAGCGCTTGGTGTATTTGAAGTTCTCTGCAGGGCAGCAGGGAAGAACATTCTGCTTTGCACCAGATACGTACTAATTTTCTGGGAGAAAAAGGAAACAAACCAAAAAAATTCTGGAACCTCGCGAAATGACAGATTTCATGTTTTAATTACAAATGATTGCAGAATCCCAGATTTTCAGTTCTTCAAAAGCAAAAGTCTCGCTGATTCCCAGAGGACTCTGACCGGTGGTAGAAGCAGGGAATCGGGTCCGGTTCTGAAAAGTCGCTGGTGTAGACGCTTTCCACCCGCTGAGCTGATAGAGGGGGATGAACTGTAATTGCGCATTTTCCTTCGTCTCTCAACTAATCATGACTCTGTCTGGCTTCTTTTTTTATTTGACGTAGACACAGAAATTTACACTAAAACACAGACTGCTGCATTCCCAGCGATTCAATTATTTATTTCTTTGGACTGAGCTGGTGGGGGGGGAATCGAAATGCTTTAACGTTGTATGATTTGTAATTTTCAATGGTGATTTTTTTATTTTGTTCACAACCTAGTTTCTACACCCAGCAGAGGGGCTACCTAGAAGAAGCAATAGTTCACTTTAAACGCAAAATGTCTTATATAATAATATAAAGATAAAAACTATCTGCAAGGGGTCTGTTAGTGTTTCTAAAAAAATCCGTGCTTTATTAAACACAGGGGAGACTTCTTAAACTCACGGGCTCCGCGTCTAACTCATTTATTTGCCCTTCCTGTTGTTGCTCTGTTTTGTTGCTCTGCTTTGCATTTATACAAGCAGAGTAATGGGCGAGCTATTTATTACAAACTTTTATTTCTCGGGGCGAGTGCTGTTGATAAACACCGCTGTTTGCGCTGCTGGTCTGTGCTGCTGTTTTATTGTCGAATCAATTATTTTAAATGAGAATTTCACCAAATAGGCTTGTTTTGTAGAAAACGCATCTGCCGAGTGGGCTTTTTTTTTCCTTCTTTTTCTTTCTTTTTGTTTCTTTTTTGTAACGAGGTACTTGTACAGTTTATGCTGTGTTAATTCAGGCCGCGGAGTGATACGGTTCAGTTTAGGTCAGTGGCTTATAAAAGGGACGGAGGAGAGCCTGTCCTTTTCTTGAAGCTCCAATCCCTTCCGCAGGGGTTTTGCCCACCTTCGAGGGAAGCCCGGGAGCCGTTCCCATGCCGAAGGCTGAGCGTGCCCTTCGGTGCTTCCCGTGAGCCGCTCTGGAGGCCCCAGCACTCGGCAGATTTGAATTCTGTGCTCTTCAGAGCAAGCTCGGGGTTTCTGAGGACTCTAATCCAGCAACAATTGCACAGTCAAAACTCCTTTTGAAAGCATTGTCACGTCGGGTTCTTGTAAGTCCTTGTTTACAAGAGCATTTCCATTGACTTCAGCAGCGTTGCTTGGGCGAACAGCGGTCTGCGGGAGGAGGGCCTCGAAAAATCCGTGCTGCGGGGACGGGTCGTGCGTGCGCGCGTTGATTTTTTTAACTGCAGAAGCACGGATGTGCAACACGCGGCGATACGTACGCGCAACGCGATTTCCAAGGCGTCTTTGGAAGTCACCACTCTCTTTTGCTCTTTCCTCCCTCGACCACTGCGGGTTTCGGTGACCTTCGCCTTGTTGCCTTGTCCCGGCAGGAGGTGTAGCCTGGTGACGTTAAACCCCGCGCAGGCCCGGGTCCGCTCGCCCCGTGCCTGGTGGCATCCCTGGCGTTGGCCGGGGCGAGAGGCACGCGCCCTCCCGGCATGGACGAGGGACACTCGGTGTCCAGACGTGCGAGGCTGAAGGCTTGGGCAAACACCCCCTTGTGAGACCATTCACCGCTTACTAGGAAAATGGTGCCAGGCAAATAGTGGAAGTATTATTCATACTGCGCTGATCTATGTGAAGGAGATCTTTTGAAGGCTTGTCAAAGTGTCTTTAAAATAGGGTGAGGCTTCTGCCATCCACACAACTCTGCTTTTGGCCCAAAGCGCGTCTCCCCGCGCTGTCGCTGTGCGATGCTCCTCCCTGCCCTCTCCCTTCGTCCCCGGTCGCTGCTGGAGCCTGCTTAGGCCTTTGCTCGGGGAGCGGTGGGGGATTTGTAAAGCTCTCTGTATCCCAGAAGTAAGACTGTACTTCAATTTGTAGGCAAATGATGTGTATTATTTTAATATGTGTGTGTGTGTACTCGGATGCTGAGCGGTGGGTACACCAGACAAATCTATAAATAAATACAATTTTAAAATATCAGTGGTGGCTTACACACTTTTGCCATCCTAGGAAGTGGCAGATATTGCCGTGTCCTCTCAGGACGATTCCTTTCGCCATAGTTTTTTTCCCTGACAAGAGTGTTGTATTTAAGCTTTGCATGTTCTTACAACATTAGATACAAGCAATTGCAGTCTCCCTTTCTGTCACTGCCCTTGCAGATAAATTCAGATATGCTAAGATTAAGCAAGCGATACGTGTCCTTCAATGCCGCCGATGGTGTCGAGCTGGGAACAGGGAATTGTGATGCTGGGGCAGGTTCTGGAAGGTCTTTTCTTTGTGTCTGCCCTGGCACTGGGGCGCTCGGCGTTCCTCATGCCAACAGAATATCCATGAAATCATCAATGAAATCAATGGCACCATTACAAGTGTATTTTGATTATCAGTCCTTCCGGGACTGCTATCTTCTGTCTCTTTTTCAATAGGCTTTGTGGTGCTTTTAGCTGCAGACCACGGGGTCATGCTTGGAAAGCAGAGTTTGTTGTTGTCTGGAGAGTTTTCCATTCATTAAGTGCAGGATTGTGATGCAGAAGTTGCCGAGCGAACGCGGCCTTCCAGCCAGCTGACCTTCGAGCTGCTGGGTCTGGGTGCTGGGATCCCTGCAATGGGAAGGGTGCTCCGAGGGTGACGGATTTCCCTGCAGGGCGTTTGCCCTTTGCGTGTGGGGTCGCTGAACCTGATGCACGGAGCAGGTCCGGTGCTGGGAGACCCCCCCCGGCCCCCCACGTAACCCTCGGCGGGGACCAGGGGCACAGCTGGCCTCCCCGAGGTCTTCTGGTGCAGGCTGC